GCTGAATTATAAATTAATAGATTTTCGTTTTGTATTTTAATGCTTGATCATAAGAGTGCATTGTGTTTTTATATTTGTGTTTTGTTTGCTGCCTTGGGCACAATTTGTCCAGAAATGCAGCCTGCAAGTATTTAAATCAGGGATGAGGAACTTCAGGCTGGTTTTGCTTGTGTGGAATGTCTCTGATATGGCCTCTTGCTTACCTGGGTACAGGATACAGAGGTATATGTGAGTCATGTAGAAACTAGCTTACTAAACAAAGGCAAAATGTTCATTAAGTTCTCTGCCCATTTTTGCTTCTGGTCCTGCACACTGTTGGGATGTGCCCCCCCCCCAGAAGGGAACACGGCTCTCAGGCTGGGAAAAAGTTCCCCATCCCTTATTTATGTTAACAAGGGAATAAAATATATTACACTGCACCACCACCATCTGGGGGCCACTGCCTCCCTTGGTTCCATAAATTCATCCCCAGAGCCCCCTGCTCTGCCCTATAGAAAGCATTATTCAAAATAGCAGTTTCCATGACCCACTAAGGAAGAGAATGACACACAAAAATTCAAAATAGTAACAATTAATTGCAAAGTTATTCAAAATCCAATCAAAACTATTTAATTAATTCAACAAAACTGATGGACTTTTCAAAGTCTGATAGTTATTTATACTTCCAGCATGCCCTGCTCCCCTTTGCCTCTTTGCACCCAGCTAAGCAATGCCACTCCCACAGAATGTTGGGGGAAGTGTCCACTTTGAGAAGCACTGAACTAGATCTTTTTCTGCCTGCTCTGCAACCTGCCCAGGGGAGGCTAGTCCATTAGGACTTAAGGGCTATTGCTCCTCCAACCTCAGTCTGCTTCCAGGTAGCCCCCACCTGCACTTCTTACAGGCAGTCTGGAGTGTGGGTGTGTAGAACTCATCAGGGAGGAGGATGGGGGCAAAACTAGACTTTGTTGGCCCCACCTGTTATTGACTTTGGCTCCACCTACTGTTGCGCTCCCCACCTTTCGCCCTACCTGTTCCAGTGAACTCCAACCACCACTGAAACTGACTGGCTGCTGTCTTGGATGGGTCGTGCTGCTTGACTTGATGCTCACTGGGTCCTGACAGCCACACAGTTTGGGAATTTGCACCCACCTGTTTGACCCCTTGGGGGAATTAGCCCTATTCATCTGTTTGGCAGGAGGGAGCCTCACTTGCTCCAGATAAGGAAAAAGTGGATTGATGAATAAAAATATCCCCCTGTCTGTTCTAGGAATTTATAGCAGGTGTAAACCAATACTTACTTCTTCCCCTGCCCCGCTGATAATGATGAATATTTTCTTCTCTTCAAACATACAAATGTTCTTGATGTTAAAAATAAAGGAAATGGTAAGGTGAAAGTGAGGTTTCTGGGGAGTGTGTGGGGTGGCAAAGATGGCTGGTTTTTACCTAAAAGGTTCTCAGGTTGTAGGACTGGAGCAAACACCAGCTCCATCAGGTTTCCTGTCAACCTCCATCCACAGGAGTCTTTCCATCAGAAGACTGCAGGGCCTCCCCACTCTCTCTGCCCTAAGAACATAAGAAGAGCCTGCTGGATCAGGCCAGTGACCCATCTAATTCAGCATCCTGTTCTCTCAGTGGCCAACCAGAAGCCTGTAGGAAATCCGCAAGCAGGAGCCAATAGAAAGAGCACCCTGCGGTTTCCAGCAACAGGTATTCAGAAACATTGCTTCCTCCAGCCACGGAGGCAGAGCACAACCATCATGGCTAAGGCCAGCAATGTTTGGTTCCATCTCTTCTTGAAATCTCTACATTCCACCTAGTATTTTACAACAACTATAAAGGTAAAGGTAAAGGTACCCCTGCCCGTACGGGCCAGTCTTGACAGACTCTAGGGTTGTGCGCTCATCTCACTCTAGAGGCCGGGAGCCAGCGCTGTCCAAAGACACTTCCGGGTCACATTGCCAGTGTGACATCACTGCTCTGGCGAGCCAGCACTAGCGCAGCACACGGAACACCATTTACCTTCCCGCTATAAAGCGGTACCTATTTATCTACTTGCACTTTTGAAGGGTGCTTTTGAACTGCTAGGTGGGCAGGAGCTGGAACCAAAAGACAGGAGCTCACCCCGCCGCGGGGATTCGAACCACCGACCATACGATCGGCAAGTCCTAGGCACTGTGGTTTTACCCACAGCGCCACCCGCATCCCCAACAACAACAACTATGGGCCATATCTAATGCTGCTGTTGCACAAACAGAAAAGACTTCTACTTGCACAACAGGACTTGAACTTCCTCTCCTCTATGCAGTTCCCACCCCATGAACCCTCAAAATCTGCTCCAAAGGGTTGTGGGACCCTTCAGAACAGAGTTTAGGGGCACATGGGAACTGCAGGGGGATGGAGAGGAATAAATGGAAGGCTACGTTTAAAACACATTTAAAGCATGTTATTCCCCCCTGCAAAAAAATAAATAAATATTGGGACCCTGGAGGGTGCTGGGAATTGTAGCTGTTTGGGGTGTAAGCAACAGTTTGCAGGATTCTTTGAGATATGCATGCAGCCAAAGTCCACTCAGACAGCAATGGATGCAAATCTCTGTAGGTTTTTTTTTTTAAGTGCACAGAGGTTTTTTCACCCCTCCTTTAAATAAAAAAGCAAGTAAATAATAGATAAACCTCAGACTGAGCTGCCAGTCAGGAGTGAAAGAGACATTGCAAATATTTTTATTATTTATTCTCTGCAAAATTTTATATACCACTTGATTGTAAGACGAAGAAGAAGAAGAAACACCTCAAAGCAGTTTGCAAAAAGAACAAAGCAATAAAATTAACCCTAAAACAGCTTAAAAAAAAAAAGAAGCTATTTGAAACATTCCAAAAGTAATTAAACTAACAAGCTAAAAGCACACGTTAAAACACATTACAACATTCTACATATCTGGGTAGGCTTGCCTAAACAAAAATGCTTTAGTACAGTGGTACCTCGGTTTACAGACGCTTCAGGTTACAGATGCCACTAACCCAGAAATAGTACCTCGGCTTAAGAACTTTGCTTCAGGATGAGAACAGAAATTGTGTGGCGGCGGCGTGGCAGCAGCAGGAGGCTCCATTAGCTAAAGTGGTACCTCAGGTTAAGAACAGTTTCAGGTTAAGAACGGGCCTCCAGAAGGATTTAAGTTCTTAACCTGAGGTACCACTGTATGTGCCAAAAAGTACAGTGAAGCTGCCTGCCTGGTATAAATAGGCAGGGAGTTCCAAAGTGTGGGAGCTACCACGCTAAAAGATTGATTGTTTACAAATAGTTGCTAAGAGCAGGGGTCAGCAACCTTTTTCAGCCATGGGCTGGTCCACCGTCCCTCAGACCATGTGGTGAGCCGGACTGTATTTTTTTTTTTGGGGGGGTGAACAAATTCCTATGCCCCACAAATAACCCAGCGATGCATTTTAAATAAAAGCACACATTCTACTCATGTAAAAACACCAGGCAGGCCCCACAAATAACCCAGAGATGCATTTTAAATAAAAGGACACATTCTACTCATGTAAAAACACCAGGCAGGCCCCACAAATAACCCAGAGATGCATTTTAAATAAAAGGACACATTCTACTCATGTAAAAACACCAGGCAGGCCCCACAAATAACCCAGAGATGCATTTTAAATAAAAGGAAACATTCTGCTCATGTTAAAACACGCTGATTCCCAGACTGTCTGTAGATTCATTCATTCCAGATTGAGAAAGTGATTGGGCCTTAGGTTGCCTACCCCTGGCCTAGAGGGACCAAACATCTGACTTGGTGTAACGCAGCTTCCTATGAAGTTTGTAAAATTTATGTGCATTGTGGAGAAAGTGGATAGACAGGAAGCCCCCATCTCACCCATAACACCAGAACAGCTTTTTCCAACCTGGTGCCTCCCCATATATTTAGGATTATGACTCCCATCAGTCGAGCAGGCTGGGATGGATGGGAGTTGTAGTCTAAAACGTCTGGAATAAGGCTACATTATTGTTTATTCATTAAATTTACACCCTGCCCTTCTTAGAAACAATTCCAATGCAGATGCAAACTGGGAAAAATCTCTGCTTTAAAAGCCTTGTTAAAAGAGGAAGCTCTTCAGTTGGTGCTGAAAAGACAGTGGAGAAGGCATCTGTCTAAAATTTAAGGGGAGAGATTCCAAAGAGTAGATGCCACCACACGGAAAAGCCTGGTTTCAATGTTATGCAGAAAGGACCTCCTATTAAGATGACATCTCTGCAAGAGGGCCTCTTTAACCCATTGGTACCTCAACGTTTTCGGGCCATCACCCCCTTGGTTCCATAAATTCATCCCCAATGCCCCCTACCCTACCCTATAAAAAGAATTATTCAGAAGAGCAGTTTGGACCATTTACTAAGGAAGATAATAATACAATAACATTCAAAGCAGTTACAGTCAAGTTGCACATTTATTAAATATCCAGTTTAAACTGTTTAATAAGATTGATGAACGTGATGCAGTGATACCAGCTTTTTGAAGTCTGATAGTTATTTACATGTCCTGCCACCCCCTTGCCTTTTAGCAACAGTGGTTTGGACAATCTGCTAAGGAAAATAATAACACAATAAAATTCAAAACAGTAACAATTAATTGCACATCTGTCCAATTATAACTACTTATGATTAACTTGATTCAGTTGATTCTGAGCTGGACAAGTGTATTGGCAAAGCAATTCCAGCAATGGCTTGCCTTTCCAAAAGGGGATGGGAGAATGTGATGCTAATGACCAATACCAAGATGAAGTCTTGAGCACACTGCTTTGAGTCTTGAGCACATGTTGAGCACACTGCTTTATGGAAGTGACTCATGGGCAACTTAGACCTGCCAGGAGCAATGCCTCAGCATCTTCCACATATACTGTGTTATGAAGATTTTGGGCATCACATCTCAAGACAGAGTCTCAAACAAAGATGTGCTCTCCCAAGCCCAAATTCCCAGCATGTTCGCACAGCAACGTCTACACTGGCTTAGTCATGTCCACAGAATGGAAGATGGCAGGGTCCCGAAGGACATGCTCTATGGGGAACTGGCTTCAGACCCCAGGCCCATAGGCAGACCAACTCTAGATTACAAAGATGTCTGCAAATGTGGCATGAAGGTTGGCAGCATCAACCCTACTGTGGGAATCCCTTGCAGATGACTGGAGGGCCTGGAGACAGTCAGGTCATGCATCCACAGCAGTGATCAGAGGAGGAATGACTGCTGGGAGGAGTGCTGAGAGAATAAATACCATGGTGCATCTGCAGCAGCACACTGGATGCCTTCATCTACCCCAGCTGCAACAAAACATGTCTCTCCTGCACCAGCCTCTAGTCACAGCAGGCACCATAGAAGCCAACTCCTAGGGGGTGAGCATTGCCATTCAAATGCTGTGTGTGTGTCTCATCATGTGGCTGATTATGCAGGGTGGGGCTTATCTGCCCCCTATTTTCAAGTTGGCACTCAGGCTACTTGGTACAGTAGTCATTTACAACTCCAGCGCACACACACTCCTTGCCTTTCAGTGCCACACCTAGGTAATACCATCCCAAAGGACAGTACCACCCACTTTGGGAATACAGTAACTGATCTAGCTAGTATTGCCAGCACCGATTGGCAGCTTCTTTCCAGGGTTTCATTCCCCGCTATACCTGGGCAGGTGGGGACTGAGCCTGGCGCTTTCTGCGTGCAGAGCAAATGCTCTGCCAACTCCAGCATTGATGACATCCTCCCCACGGATGGATGCGATGGGTATTGGGGGGAGGGGTTGTCTTCTCCCCACAGCTAGAGAAGCTGCTGCTGGTTGTGGTGGTGGTGATGGAGGCGCATGCGCTGTGCTCGTACTGCGGAGCCCAAAGCTCGCAGGGAAGCGCTCGCGCACCGAGCCTCCGCCGCGCGTGCGCTCTCCTGCACGCACCGAGAGAGGCAGTAGGAGCCGCTGCGAGAGTCAGAACAGAAGCTGCGGGTGCATCCTCGGTTCTGCAGCCTCCTCAAGTAGCATGACAGGCGGAGACAGGAGCTGCAGCGGCAGCTGCAGGCGCTGAGCCCATCACCGTCGCTTCCAGCATCCCAGCAGGTGACAATGTGGAAATGCGATTTCTTGCTTTGCATTTTTGGAAAGAATTCTCTCTCTCCCCCCCCCTTCTCCCTCCTCCCTCCGTTTCGCTGCAGGGTGATGCAAAATGTGAAGGGCTCTGACTTTGCATGGCGATGCGCTGGAAGGGCGGGTTGGCCGGCTGATGCTATCCTTTTTGGCTCCCTCCCCACCCCCGGATCTAGGGCTTGGCAGGCGAGGAGGGAGACAGCGAGAGTAAGAGCGCCTTTGGGCACCCTGGATTTGTGGGCTAGCAGCAAGTCCTCTCCCCCCCGCTCACTCTTTTTTCCGGGAAAGAGGAGGGGAGGGGGCGCATGGTGGTGGGGAGGCTGGAGGGGGCTCCATTGCATTGCGCGAGGGAAGTGGCAGGGCAAAGCGAGTGGGTGGCTGGCTGGCTGCTGCCTGCTGCGGCGCTTGGCACATTCCCGGTTGCTAGAATGTGGGCAGGAGGGCATGCGTGCCATTATTAGCAGAGAAGGGGGGCGGGCAGAGAGAGCGCGAGAGAGCGGGGCGTGGGGAGAGAGGGACAGATTCCGCTGTCAGCCTTAACTAGAGAGAGGTGGGGTGGGGGTAGATTTCCAAAGTGGAGAGCGAAGGATATGGGGGCGGGGCGAGACCCTTACATCTAGGGATCTATAAAGACAGGGTAGCTCAGGGAGCTCTCTGGAGAAGGACATCGCTTTTTGCACATCATTCTACGGCACCTGCTTCGGCATATATTGGGTGGGTACTTTGGAAAACCACCGATGTTGGCTTACTGCATTCCCTTTCGGGCAATTTCCACAACAGAAGGGCACGTGAGGGTGTTGGGAGGGAGGCCTCGAGGACTAGAAACTGGTTTGTATGGGAGCCCAAGAGGGCTCCACTTGCAGGACATGAGAGAGTACCTTGAAGCATGTGCAGAGTGCTTTGCCTCACTGCAGCTGCGTAACCAAGGTCAGCATTCCATGCATCTCTTGGATGAGCAAATGGAATTTCCAGGTCAGAGATTACGGCTTCTTGACCGCCTTGAGTCCTGGCATCTCAGGTTTTAGAAGCCGATTAGCCAGTGGCTGTGAGCTTGCCATACAGCTGGGCTTGAGCACTCGGGGGCATTCTTGTGACTGCAGTTCTGTGACTTGGATTTGCTTCTTGCTGGCTGTCAGATGCTTTGGTTTGCGTGGGTATGCCATTGGGTGAGAAAGTATATTATTATTATTATTATTATTATTATTATTATTAATAATAATAATAATAATGGCTGATAACATTGAGGTTCATAATAAGAAGGAATGAGAATATTCGACACATGATTCTGTGGATGAGTTGCCTGGGAATTCACTAACTGATTTAGCAATTTGAAAGCAACTGACTTCATATTCCAGTACCTGGACTGGATGTCTTCACTCCTATAAATTATTGCTCCTTCCTACCCTGGCATCCTCTGTCCCTTGTTGATTTAAATATATTGTATAGTGTACCTTGAGAAGCTGGGAAAACTTAGCTTGGGCAGCCCATTGGAGAGGTTAGCACATGAACACAGTCTCCTAGTCAGCTTGAGGCCTGTCTCAGGTGTCAATACTGAGGCTGTTGCCCATCTCTGCACCTGCAAGCCAGCAGTGGCGTAGCATGGGTTGCTAGCACCAGTGGTGGGCAAGCTGCTGACGATGACGCAGTGCCCCCCCCCCAACAGAGACAAGTGGGCCGCATTGGATAGCCTGCCCATGCAGGGGGGAGCCCGACTAGCTAATACAGCCCTTGGCAAGTGAATCCTCCCCCTGACGCTTGTGGAGAAGACTGCCGGGCTGGGCTGGGGTGGCCCCTTGTCTATATCCCTCTATTCACACCCACTCACTGTGGGCCTGAGCTGCTCTTCCACCTTCACCAGGGCAGGATGGGGATCCCTGTGGAAGCTGGCACCTGTGTGGGGGCACCTGGTTGAGTCCCCTCAGAATTGTGCACCCAGGGCATGCCCCCGCCGGCTCCCCCCTATGCTACACCACTGCAAGCCATCATGAGCTAGTTTGCTGCTCCAGGTGAAAATTAGTTTTGCTTCCCCTTCCCCAGTCTTTTACATTTTCTTGAATTTTTTGTACTTGTACTTGTGATAGTATGCATTAACATACAGTGAAAAAAAGTGATATGATAAAAACTTTTAATGGAAGACACAAGTTCTCCCTTCTTTTGTTGGCTTTGGGAGAAAGCAATTCTCCCCCGCCCTTGCACCTAACTTAAACTTGACATGCGGGATCCATGACCAGATATCACAATATTTTTGTCTGTATTTTAAGGCTGTCACAGGGAGCTCTAGATTTGACTGAGGTGGTGCAGCTGGGAAAAGCATAAGAAGAGCTTGCTGGATCAGACCCATGGCCCATCTACTCCAGCATCCTGTTCTCATGGCGGCCAACCAGATGCCTGTGGGAAACCCACAAGCAGGATTTGGGCACAAGAGCCCTCTCCTCTCCTGTGGTTTGTAGCAACTGGTATTCAGAAGCATTCTTGCCTCCAACTGTGGAGACAGAGCATAGTCATCAAGTCTAATAGCCACTAATAGCCTTATCCTTCATGAATTTTTCTAATCCTCTTTTAAAGCCATTGGGGTTAGTGGTCATCACTGCCTCCTGTGGAAAACAGGATACTGTTTCTCCTGCCTTTTTCTTCTTTTTTTCTATTTAAGGCCTAATCTGTGCTATATATTTAAAGCAGTACTGAACCACTTTAAATAATTATTCCTTTCCCCAAAGAAGCATGGGAAGTGTAGTTTGTTTATGGTGCTGTGAGTTGTTGTTTGTTGTTGTTGTTGTTGTTTAGTCGTTTAGTCGTGTCCGACTGGACCCCCATGGACCAGAGCACGCCAAGCACTTCTGTCTTCCACTGCCTCCCGCAGTTTGGTCAAACTCATGCTGGTAGCTTCGAGAACACCATCCAACCATCTCATCCTCTGTCGTCCCCTTCTCCTTGTGCCCTCCATCTTTCCCAACATCAGGGTCTTTTCCAGGGAGTCTTCTCTTCTCATGAGGTGGCCAAAGTATTGGAGCCTCAGCTTCAGGATCTGTCCTTCCAGTGAGCACTCAAGGCTGATTTCCTTCAGAATGGAGAGGTTTGATCTTCTTGCAGTCCATGGGACTCTCAAGAGCCTCCTCCAGCACCATAATTCAAAAGCATCAATTCTTCAGCGATCAGCCTTCTTTATGGTCCAGCTCTCACTTCCATACATCACTACTGGGAGTTGGTAGGAGATCCCTAATCCCCCCCCCGAGCTATGATTCCAAGTTTTCATAGGCAGAGGTGCCACCTTCTCCAGAGGACTGAGAGGGCACACTGTGACGTTCTGACTTTAGAATGTCACACGCACGACATTGCATGATGTCAAGACATTGCATGTGGAGCCCTCTGAACATTGAGGGGGCCTAGCCTCAAAAAAAGATTGGCGGGGGTGGGTTTCCAAAGTGCCACAGCCCCTAGGAGCCTGCACCCTTGTCCATGGGAAACAGAACTGTTAAACTGCTTTGGGAATCATACCTCAGTGAGGGTAATAGAGACCTTCTCACAGTTCCCTTTAACAAAATACAGTTCTCAGGATTCTTTGGTGTAAGAGAGCTTTAAACGTATAGCAGTTAACACTATAAGGGGAAATGCCCCTGTGTTTTTTTTCCCTTTGAGGATCTAACTGCAATTTGAAAACCCCCAAAATAGGTTTTTAATTTTTTAAGGCTGGGATATTTGTTTTTTATTAAATTGCAGGGCGGGATGGTGGTGGAAGCTGGAGGGTAGGTACTTAGACCCTGAATATGAGCTTGTAGAAATTGGTGAGTACCTCTTTCCCAACCTCATGCTCTAATTCAGAGACCCTAACCTCCTGTTTGCAGTGTAACTTCCGTACATGGCTACACAGAAATGACCCCCAGTTAAGTCCAACAGAACTTACTCCCAGGTGTATAGGATTGCAACCTCAAAGTTGCCTGGTGCTTACTGCAAAGATGCAGTAAGCACCAGGCAAGGATCTTCCATGTGACTGTCACATGTAGTTTGCAAAACTGTGG